GCATGTACTACTAACTCCCCTTGTTGCGGAGCAGTATAAACGCACAAAGCTCTTCGTCATCCTGCCTGAACGGCGGGCGTGTCATTGTGGATCCTGCATTGACGGTGTCTCGTGTGTACATTGTACACTAGACGTTTCAACAGAATCGGGCAATACACTGACCCCTTCTAGTACTTTTACATGTTTATCAATGTCAGCGCCAACGGCAGCCATAAAAATCAGAGAAACAGCCACATCTAAAAGAGCTAGAGAAGGTCCACAAGTACCCTTACCTCCTACACGGAAACCCAAACACACTGCTGAGCCAGACGTACAACATTACCTGTTAAGAAAAGAAGTACCTCCAAAACCTATACCTAGTCGACCTGCGAAAGCTGTTCGTCAATCTGAACCAAAATCTTCGAACTCAAAAGCCAGAAGAAACCCAATAATCATGCCTGACCCATCAAGTTCAAGCATAGAAGAACCGGCCCCTACAGGTCGGTCTTCACACAGAACCATGCCATTACCCGGTAATAAGGGAGCCCCGTTCTTCGATAAAGAGAAACCAATTGAGCTTCTACGTTTCTTAGACCAAATGGAAGATCTTTTCGCAGAATATGGTATTAATAGTGACATGGAGAAAAAGAAGAAATTAGGAAAATATACGGATCAACGGACTGAATTCGAATGGAAAGCATTTAAAACATTCGAAGACGGCTCCTTTGACGAGTTTAAAAAGGCTCTAATAGCAGATTACCCTGATGCGCGAAATGCAGGAAAAGGGACCTTAACTGGACTAAGAGCTGTATGTAGAGAAAACAGTCGGCTAGCAGAAAAGAACTTGACAGAGTTGAAATTTTTAACTCGAAGTTTTAGGGCACAACAAAAATTACTCATGGCGCCGCCAGTACTGGTGAGCAACCGAGAGCTAGTTGACATGTTCTTAGGCTGTCTGACAGATTCCTTTGCTGATCAAGTTAAGGCCAGTTTGAATATTGAACAAACTAGAGACCGAAAACAGAAAGGCAACGAGGATGAGACCACTGCTAGAAGAACTGAGGATCCATACGATATCATAGACATCATAGACATGGCAGAAACCATCGCTGGACGTCTTACTGGAGACTCCCGAGACCACCCAAGCAACGCGAGAGCTGTATCGACTGGTAGATCAGTTCAAGCGCGCGAACAGGAAATTAAAACAGAGCACGATGAATTCGAAGAATTGCGAAGTATTACTGCGACGTTCCTTGATCAAATTAAAGTAGATCAAAAACAGAATTCAGAACTTCATAATATGGTACAAAACACACAGATAGAAATGAAGAAACTCTTAGAGACTTTAGTTCACCAACAGCCGAATATCAGTAACCCACAAAGCAAAGTGGCGAGTTATAAAATGACTTCAGATGGCTGTTGGTACTGTGATGAACCAGGCCATTTTACTTCGAATTGTCCACATAGAGAAGCACATGTAGCCCAGAAGAAAATCAAGCTTCTTGGGAACCGAATGTATTTTATGCATAATAATACTGCAGTACCAAGAGGGAATGGCGAAAAATCCGTTCGACAAATTGTCGAGGAGGCTAGTAGGCAAAATTCGACTCTACAAAATAATATGTTTGCAGAGCCTGGAGAAGTCTTTAGTCAAGAAGCTGTTGTCCCAGGTATAATCAGGCTACCGGATAATAATAATGGAAATGAAATTTCCATTTTTACAAACCAGATGCGAGATACAAGAGACGATGTGATTCTCAACATGAACAACCAAGTGTTAAAACTTACCGACATGCTTGCGAACCTTGTTACAAACCCCAATAAAACGAGGGACGTAGACGCGTCACAGTTTGCCGTCACCCGTAGATCTCAAACCGAGACTCAGGGACAGTCGGGAAACTAAAGAGTCCGATGAAGGGGCCTTCCAGTAAGACTAAACCCAATGCTGGAGAACCAAAGGCACCGGAGGACGCACCAAAGAAAAGGGGTAGGAAAGTTGTGATTATCGAAGAATCAGAGGAAGAAGAAACTCCTCCCGAGAAACCAGAAAATCTCAATGGACCAAAGAAAACTTTGAAAAATAATCAAAAATTACTTGAAAGAAATGATGATGTCGAGGATCCTAATCCAAGGCACAAACAATTACCGTATCTCGGTATCCCAGACTTAAATAGTAACGCGAAAGAATCGGTTGAAGAGTATGACCCAGTGCCTTTCTATAAGAAGCGCCCGATAGCATACAAGCATTTAGCTCCAATAGAAAATGTTAAAAATGAGGAACAAGCGTTGAACAGTCTGTTAAAAGCACCTGTTACTCTAAGCGCGGAAGTACTTATGAGCATTTCTCCTGGAGTAAGGCAAGAATTGTTTAAGGCCTTAGCTAAAAAGAAGGTACCAATTCAGACTGCTCACAATCGAACAGTAACTATAGTCGAGGAGGTTGATAAAGACGCACCTCCAATTAAAAAGCAAGAAGATAATTTTAATTTCGGAAAAATCAATATAAATGACTTGGACATCAAAGCCACTTTTATGTGCACAACAGAGGATGATGGAGTAATACCAAAGGGTTCTATAGTCCTGACAGATCCTGTTGAGCAATATTTGCAAGGCCTAGGCTCATCGGAAACTCCGAAGGAGATTTAAGTATCTAAAGAGTCCCATGCTTTAAAATCGATATATCCAGTAATTAATAAGTTTGGTCAAGTAGAGAGCTTGTTGGATGGTGGCTCACAAATTGTATCAATGGATGCGGAGGTTGCTAAGAAATTAGCAGTCCCTTGGGATCCTGATATAACCATTCAAATGCAAAGTGCAAATAGAACTGTGGAAAAGACCCTTGGTCTCGCCAAAAATGTCCCATTTAACTTCGGAGGAATTACGATTTACCTGCAAGTGCATGTAATACGGGACCCAGCCTATAAAGTACTATTGGGCAGGCCCTTTGACGTGTTAACAGGGAGCGTGGTCGTAAACTCTACGGACGGAGGACAGACGGTAACCATAACGGATCCAAACTCTGGCAGAAGAGCAATGTTACCCACTTTTGACAGAGGAAAACCACCAGTAATGATGAAAATGCACACTGAAGAGGATCTTCAACCGAAAACTGAGAAAGTTTTTCAACCCTTGATGATTTGATTGAAAAAGATCAAGGAGAAATCGCGATAGCTTTCGAAGAAGACGGTGCGGGAGGATATAAAGTCCTATCGTACGCCTTACCAATGGACGATCAATTCTCTGAAGAAGAGACTAGGAATTTGTATCTTACAAAATACTTAAAACATGAAAAAGAAAAGATGACAGACAAGGCGGCTAGTACGGTTCTGGTAAACTACTTAGAAAAATATTATTCTAAGCAAAGTCAAGAATCGGGCACCGCGTCTACAGTGGAAACCAAAGATAAATACGAACTTTGACAAGACTGAAGATCTGCTAAACCACTAATAAAGGGCGGTTCAGTACGAGGGTGTTTGTCGCCGGCGCAACTGCCTTTGGCATGCTCGATGACGAGGGCCTTGTGAAATTCGCGACTGTTAGTGTCCATGCCTGGAACAGCGTCGTAGGGAATGCTGACCGTTTTGGCACGCTTGGATTTGGCTGGGGTCTGTTATGTCCATAAAAATATGAAGTTAACAACGTGGCAGTGGACTCACGCAATAATAGCAGCTTACCTTGGGACCAGAGGCAGCGCGCTTCTTGCCTTTCTCTTTGGGAGAGGAAGCGGCGTCCTTGACTTCTTCGTCACCAAAGAGGTTGTCCACTGCCATCTGAGCAAAGCGGTACACAATATTAAAATTGTGTCCTGCTCGAAAGAAAATAAAAATAAAAAATAACGCACGGTGTCAGCTGCAGTGATAGCGTTGGGGCCATCACACCCACCCATCATAACGTCGGTATCCGAGGGGCTGGGGACAATCTCGACCTCGTCGACCTTGTCCTCGACGACAGCCTTGGACTTGACAAGCTTGCGGGGACGCTGTTTCAAAATGTATCCGCGCTGCGTTAATAACATGAGAAAAGATGAACAAAATAAGTATAAACGTGCCTTGGCTTTAGTGGCAGCCATTACCTCTGCAATCTCAGCCTGAGCCTGAGCTTGAGCAGTAACGGGTGGTGGAACGACCTGCGCAGCGGCGAGAACAGCGCGACAATATTCTTTGATAGTGTCAAGGTCGGCTGGGGGCGCGATGGCGTGAACTCCAGTGCTGCGGGTATTGTACTCGCCTCTAACAAGGAAAAGCACGTTGTGCATTGGCTGGTGCATAAGCAGACACGGATCCTTGGTGTCGATAAGCTGAACCTAGTCAAGTGCGCAGTATTAGCCTTTGTTCGAAGAAATAGAAAAATACGAAGTTTATAACAGAAAAATTCGCGACTTACACAGTAATTAGCGGCTACGCCCAGAATGGTGGGAGCGGCAGCGCTGTTCAGTCCCTCTTTCATGTCCTGATAAGTTTTGAAGGCAGTGAGAGCGGACTCGCGAAGCTTGACAGCGGCGGGAAGAGCGTTTTGTGGGATAGACATAATGAGCGAGTGGTAAAATGAGAGTGCGTGGTAGAAAAGCAAAAAACTGTTCTGTCCGAAAATTTTTCGCCACTGCCTGCTTTTATATGTGTGTCTGAGACCAAGGCGTGCGCGTTCCGAAATTCCGCGTTGCAATTCACTTGAAGCATGAAAATTTGGAGTTGCGCGTTCCAGCGCGATCACGTCTAAAAATAGAATAAACTTTCCGAGCCTTGGATTTCCCACGCCACGTGACCTATGAACTTAGTCGTTTTGACTGAGGACCACTAGTAGCTGCCATTTACATCATGTAAAACCTGGCATGTACCATAGAAGTTCCTGCTTAACTACCGTGAATGAAATGAAATGAATTTTCATTCATTCACGGCACCTGTTTCATTCCAAGTCATTCTCATTCATTGCCGTCGAGAATGAAATACTTTTTGTTTCATTTCATTTCATCTCAATTTTTTCTTCATTTCTACTGACAAGAATGCAATTTATTCTGTTTCATTCATGCCTGGCGACTCTTTCATTTTTTTAATTTCATTCCACCATGGCAACTGTTTCATTTTTTGCTTTATTCTTTCGTTTCATTCATTCCTGGCAACTGTTTCATTTTTTACATTCATTCATTGCCATGGAATTTTCATTTCATTCTTTCCAGGCAGTTATTTCATTTTTGTTTCATTCTTTCAGGCAACAATTTCGATGTTTTAACACACATCTAAATAAGGAAATAATATACAATTATGCCTGATATGTGTTGTGCCCTACTGCAGTGGTGTGGGAGGCCATATGGGGGTACTTTTGCATTTGAGGCTCAAATACACAATGAGATAGGCATGCTGTTGCCAAATAAGGCACTTAAATATTTTGTATCAATTACATAATCATTTTCCCAGCTCTAACAATGAAA